AGGCGTGGAATGACTGGAATAGTTTCTCTGACGAAGACAAGTAGGGCGACGGCAATAATGGCACGCTCCAGTGCTTGGAGCTCCGCAGTACTTGGACCTTGTCTGAAGTCAGTCCAGTCAGTCATTGCAAGTTTGCCAATACAAGCTTGCCGCCATGCGATTGCGCTTTGCTGCTTTCTTTCACAAATCGGGCCAGGGTAAGGGGGGGTGGAGGTAGGGCAGGGCAGCTGGTCCAAGTGGAGTGGCTTGAAAAAAACCATCTGAGCAGCAGCACTGCAGCAGGGCTGTTCGAGGGGCAGCCAGGAAACTCTAAGAGACCAGGGCATAATACGAAAGGTGGCCAGGTATCCAACGAGGATGTGAGCCAGTCTGGAGCGCGCCGGCAGCATGCGCAGGCGCCCGTGGCTTTCGTCTTTTTTTCCTTGCTCGTCAGGCAATCTGATCAGAACTGGGCTGAAGCTCTTGGCTGGGCCGGTTCAGCCCTACGGGACGCATAGCCCAGATCGGCCGTGGGCTTTCTAGCGTAAAACACCGAGAAAAAAGGCTGCAGCCGTTCCGCACCAGCAGGGTGGAGGGTGGAGCCTCAAAACATGACCCTGCCTGCTGGGCTAGCCTGGGCTAGCCTGGGGTGTCTCTAAGCCTGCCTACCTAGGTACCTATGGCTGGCCAACGCTGCAAGGGTTAATTTTTCCTCTTGCCTCTCTCTACCCACGCTCCAGGGCTTGGGCAACGCGATGGAACATCGGAGTCTGGGAGAGGGGCGCACTTGGTGCTGCCTCCCGCATCTCCTAGGTACTAGGTAGGTAGGGCTTGTCAAAGTGACTCGGCTCCCTTCCCCCAGTGTGCATCTCGCAAGGGTTCAATCGAGTCAGCAACATTTTACCCTCGGTTTGCCCTTGTTGACCTACGTACTCTTGTACGTACCATACGAAGTCTTCTGATCCCTTGCGCTTTTGCTATTTGTGCGCATGATGAGCCACGCACAGACACTCACGCGGCTCGCTGAGCCCCCCTTCAGCAATAAGCAGGGCAGAATGGCTGATACTAAACCTTGCTAGGTTGGGTAGTGGCTGATGAGGAAGGTGAGGGAGAAAGGCGGCATGGGCTGACCTCGTGCCCCCCCCAGGCGGTAATATGGGTGATAATGGAGACTCCAGAGTCCAAGTGGGCACCCGATAGGGCGAGCCTACCAGGCCAGGGCGCCTGGGATCGAAGTTGTTGCTCGTACCTACTGAGACACGACACTAGGACCGAGTCGTCCACGGAACTAAGTAAAGGCGTGGGAAGAGCAAGAGAGGGAGCGAGCGAGCGAGGCCCCTGCAACGCTGGGTGATAGTCGCCTACTACGAGTGGCTAGGCTGGAATGCCCCGCCAAAAGCTGCTGGCCGCTTAGTGGTGGGACCTAATTGAGGAGAAAGTAGCCCTATGAAACTCTCGACCACTCGACCACTCGACCTCAGCCCGGCCCAAGGGTGTTGTGCTCTGGGGGTCTGTAAGGCAAGCTGATGGCCGTAGGGAATGATTCGCAGGCGTTAAGTTCGGTGGTGGGCCATTTGTATGATGATTGGAGGGAGACCGTGACACACCGGGACACGAATACTCAGAGTCGGACAGCACGGCATCGTCTGTGCCCCATCATCCCAGCATCGCATCATCATCATCATCATCAGCATCACCACCACCACCACAACCCTTTCACCCATCACCCATCACCCATTCATCATGCTCTGAGTCTGATCTTACCATGAAACTACAATTGGTAGAGAGACATGGTTGGTGTTACTCTTCCTTCGGTCCACCTCGACCGGCCGCCGCTCTGGACTCGGTTGCAGCTGAAGCCTTATGCCTAGAATCCCGGAAAACGCGGGTTCCATGGCCTGGGTGGCGTTGTTTGCGTTTTGCAAAATTAGCTAGGGTGATGCGAGATGCGTTTCCTGTCCTTCGTACGGCCCAGCCATCGCTTTCCACAAACGGACAAGATCTCGAGCGCCAACATATTTGCAGACTGATCTTCCCTTCCCGCAACCTTCCAAGAATCTCGTGTACTATGGCACCCTGGAAGCCATGGGGCCAGGGAGCTCCAAATGTGCACCAAAGTTTGTGCGGCGCGCATATCGATTATGCCTCGTCTTCTGCGGCAACAAGGTTTTTCTCGATGGGTTCGTGCATGTAGAGCATTCACCTTGGACGGTCTAGCTCCAATGCAGCCCTGGGCCCAAGGCTTCTGGTCGCCCCGATACCTGCGGGTACGAGGGCTCGTTTTCGCCTTCACGTCATAGGTCCCGCGGCCACGCTGACCAGGGCACTGTGAATAATCCTAGCACCACCCCGTCAAGCGGGAGCTAACGGCTCACAAGTTCGACACGGTCCCTCCTTCGGGGCCTGTGTGTTGGCAGCCACCCTTCTCAGAGGTATCAAACACGAAGAATGGGCCCGGTAGAGGATGCTTGGAAGAGGAAGTGTCATTTGACCCTGGCCTCAACGATGGGTGGGCAATGCCGAGTCTGATGGTCGACATGGGTGTACCGCTACTGACTCGAGCGACAGGCTCTGCTTCTGTGTGGCGTCCCTTGACGCCTAGCGTCCATTTCGCGCATGCATGTGAGGCCGGGACTTGGTCTGCAACGCGAGACTCAGTCCTCCCCGTATCCTCTGCCCTGGCAGTATTCCATCCGGATCTGCATCATGGGCACACCAAGACGTAGCCCTACCTTCGGTTTACTCTGCCCTACGAAAAATGGCCTGTGATGCCCCCCTAAAGCCCACGGTCACCCACAGTGTCACCCCTGGGTGCCTCTCTTCCCCCCAAGGATTAGTCAAGACCATTGTTGCTGATCCCTTTTGCAGGGTGGGTGGTATACCCTGTACCGCTCACAGTGTACTTCATACCTCGGTAGATTGCTGGCTTTGGTCTATTCTATTGGACCAGCGGCGTTCACAAAGGCTGATGGGACGCCATCCAACCATTCCGATGAGGTGGCACCAGAATACTCGGTGAAAGCAAGGGCCGCAACATGATCAGATTCTGCATGAAAGCGTGGTCTGTTTTGTCTCTCCCCTACCAGTAGAACGAATTCCTTCTGCTAGGGATTGATTGCTCCCCTAGGGCTCGAGATCTTTGGATGGTACCTCGTGCCCTGTAGACAATGGTGTGGACGGAGGTAGTCCTTCGTATTCGATTGATAGTTCTGTTATGGTTGGCAAGGATGACACCAGGGATTTTGCATAAACTCGATCGGGTAGGGGTACCAGATTCAGGAGTGAAGCCTTGGTAGCCGACAAGGCTGGCAGTTAGGCAACTGAAACGGTGTGATTAGCCATGGAGAGGGTCAGTTTGATCAACTTCTCCAGCCTGTGGCCTGAATGGGCAATCGGCTGTGGGTGAAGTTTCCAAGCAGATAATGGTGCAAGAAGCCTGTGCAGGGAGACGTTCTTCGCATCTGTGCATCTGCCTCGAAACGGCGCCTGGCTTCGGAGCAAGAAGCCAGACAGGGACATAGGGCCGATTGAGATGCGAGAAGCCACCTCTTGGGACCCTCTTGGGGCCCTCTTGAGTCTTGGAGAGTGGATGAAAGGAGCGGGTCTGGACGAAACCGGGGGAGACAATTGCGAGTGGCCCAAACTGATGTCGTATCTCAGATCAATAATGGCGGCGGAAGAACAAGGGCCCTAGTGATAGTAGTGGCCTAGGCGGTAGAGTGACTGGTACGCCCAACAAGGATCACCACTGACCAGCCCGCGGATTCGATCCATTGGGCCATGTGGGGATTTCCATCAGGTACCAGAACAACCCACCCTCATTCCAATCCCACCATTCTCTCCCGAGCTTCCAAAATCCCAGACCGACAAGCTGCAGAAAACATCGCTAGTGCCTTTTTCCAGAAGATTCATCAAACGTCGCTTGCGATCCCATTCGGGGAAGACGGTGGGCCGGGTCCCTACCGGTGGAGACAATGACATGATCCATGAGGCAGGGCCGGATGCCGGCTCGGAACAGGAGTCTGGAAGGAATCGTTTTGTGAAGGAGTTTTGATATGGTTGCTAAGCAAAATCCAAGAGGCCTGATGACACAGAGACCATGTGTTGATGTGGTTGTGGTTTGCTCGTTGGTGGGTGTTCAAACCAGCTTCTCTGTTGGACTGACGACACAAAGGATGTCAAAGAGTCACTGCCCGCCTCGCCATCATACGATAGTCTTGAACCTCGGCCACTTCTTTCGCTGGTGCCCCTCATCGCTCTGCCGGGTAGTACTTACATTGTAATTATTCTATTGCAGATCACTTTCCGTTCAACTCACCAGCCACGTATTCTACGCCACAGGTTATAGAGGGTACTACTAGGTACCATTCTCAGTTCTCAGACTACTACCAAGTACCGAGCTTCTCAGATTATTTTCTACACTCCCCTACACTGGATTCCTATCTGGCCACCCTGCAAAGTAGAGAACAAGACCAAACAGAGGTGAGGTGAAAGTGAAGTGAAATGGAAGTGAAAATGAAAATGTGCTGAGTGCTCTTTCCCATTCTTGGTACTCGAACCGAGTGGCCCTGGTGACGCCTCGACGCCTACCTCAGTCTTGGCATTAGCCGAGGCTCATTTCATTTTTCTTTCCCTTCACCTTCCCGGGCATCAGGGCTTCAAGGCTTCAAGGCTTCCATAAGTCAAGGCCACCACCGCCAGGGCCTAATTCGTACGAACCAATCTTTTGTCGTGCCTGCATTACTCAATTTGAGTCTACACGTTTCAAGACAGGGAGAAAAAAATCTCATCCCCATCAAGAGTGACAATAGCCACAACGACGAATCGAAACTGCAAATCACACAACCCTCGCCCACTCGCCTGAAAGGCAAAAAAACATCATTTCACAATCCACACTGTGGTCACTGTTCCCTCACCGCTAATTTCCCTTTGCATCGAGACGGCTGGCCTTGGCCGGTTCTTCTTCCCTATCTGGGTCCCGAGTCCGTCCATCATCTGAGCGGCGTATCCTGAGTGCCAACATGGACATCCCAACCCTGCCCAGCAAGGTCCCAGGCTACAACTTGTACATTGATGGGTACGTGGTCCAGTTGAATGTCCTATCCGTGCGTGACTGGTACTTGGAACACGGCGGCTGTTGTCGACCGGTTTCTTCGGGTCCCAAGTCAAACCAATGCAGAAATCAAAGGGGAGTTCCGATGACACCTATTGACAAGCTCCGGTCAGATTTCAAGCCTTGCGTCGCCCCAAGATCCTCCAGGGCTCCAATATCACTCATGTCGTTTCGGTGTTGGACTGGAAATTCCAAAAAGACTGGGCCTCGCTTCGCGGGTTTCAGCACCTGCACATCCCTCTGGACGATGTCTATGACTCGAACATTCTGTCCTATTTCCCCCGGAGCAATGCCTTCATTCACGAGGGTTTGAAGGACTCGAGGTCCAATCAATTTGATGCCTCTGGTACCCCCCTCAAAGATGGCTCCATCGACCCGATCCCGGGCGGAGTTCTTGTGCACTGGTAGGTCATCTTCTCCTCATCTTCTCCTCTTCTCCTGACTTCTGGCCATCGCGCATCCTATGTCTTCCTTGCGCAAATCTGCCTCACAGGGCACTGAAACCTGGGTTCGTGCACGCGTGCCTGGTGTTGTGTTGTCTGGCGTCATCTGTTGTCCTGGCCGAATTCACTCGCTCGCCCTCGGCGGCGACCATAGTCACCAAGAAGCGGGGATCCTGGTCCACATCTCGTAAAAGCACCTTTTGCAGAGCACAGACTCGGCTTCGCCGACTGTACTTTTTGAAACTCGTCTGTGTTGTACGTTGGCCAGAACAGACCACGCGTCCTCCACCAAATGCCAAGGTTTGCGTTTGGCCGGCTTGGCCGAATCTCGGGTTTGCCACGCTGAAGCACCACAGCCCGAACCGCCAGTCTAGATCAGGGCTGGACCTGTACGCCCAACTGACCAACAAAGCATGTGAGAGAAAACTCTCTTTTCAGACTACGACATCGTTCAGCTCGACAAGCATCAGCAGCGCCGACCAACTTGAATCCTTGGAATTCTCGGCCGTCGAATCACGTGATAACGTCTTCGTGCCGCAAGGCTCTCTGGAAAGGGGCAGGGGGTGTAACGATTGCAACAAAGAAGCACAGTGTCTCCAACTGGAACTCCCGGGAGACATCTTCCATGGAATGCTCCTCGTCGCCTTTAATCAACCTGACACGTGAGGAAGATTGCTTTGACTGTGTCCCAAAGACTACCACCTCCCTGCCGCCGTCAAAAGCTTCCCATTACAATTACGTGTTGCGCGCAGGTTTTTGATGTTTACAAGAAACTTCTGTGATAGCTAACATGCGTCCACCAGTGCAATGGGCGTCTCCCGCTCTGCGACCATCGTCATAGCATACCTTCTCTGGCACTCTCGCCAAACAGCAAACATCGTCAACCAACAATCTCAAACCAACCCCAAAACTCAAGATGCCACAAACACTTCATCGTCGTCAACGTCATCCGCACCCGCACCGGACATGGTCTCCCTACCCCCCACGCCGCTGACAGTTGATTCGGCCCTTGCCTTGGTTCGCGAAGGCCGTCCCCAAGTGGAACCAAATTCCGGGTTTATCAAGCAACTCCGCATGTACGAGGCCATGGGCTGCCCGAACACCCAGGAGCAACTTGAAAGCCACAAAATCTACCGACGATGGATGAACTCACGGAACGTGCTGGACGCGCTGAGCGAAAATCGGGCGCCGGAGATGGACCATATCAGTTTTCGGGACGAGGAAGACGACGAGAACAGCCAGGAAGACGGTTCTCAAAGTTCGTCCAGTGTAGCGGGCAACAACGACCCCCTTAGCGACAGGGTGCAGAGTCTTACCTTGCTGAACCCGGACAACGACGAGCCGACCGAGATCCTGAACCCGGACATCACTCTCTCGTCACCTTCACCGGCGCCTCCCCTACCCGCCAACGTGGAAATCAAGTGCCGGAAATGCAGGCGCCTGCTCGCCAAATCCAGCTTCATCCTGCCTCACAAACCACCTCCACACCGCGACCCCTCGGCGGCGGTTGGAGGGGACCCCTGCGCGCACATCTTCCTCCACCCTCTGTCGTGGATGAGGCCCGTCCTGTCTCAGGGACAGTTGGACGGCCGACTGACATGTCCGACGCAGCGGTGCGGGGCGAACATCGGCAAGTTTGCATGGCAGGGCCTGCGCTGCAGTTGTGGAGGGTGGGTGACGCCCGGGTTCGGATTGGCCAAGGGCAAGGTGGACGAGGTGCGCATTCGTGAAGGAAGCTCATCAAGAGGAGGAGAAGGAGGGGGATCAGCGCCAGGACAGGAACCAGGACCCGGAAATGGAGGTGGTAAGAAAGCAGTCTTCGACAGCGCGGTGAGATTTCCTCCTGGGATGAGAAGGGCGGGGAATGGAAACTTGTGACGATGCTCGAGTTGAGCGTGATGTCGATCAAAGACCACATTTGATCCTTTGGGATTTTCCGTTTCTGCAATATGGTTGGATCAGCGACGGGCAATACACAAGCGTCGGATTGGCTATGTGTTGTTTAGACGACAAGGCTGAATCCACGCTAAGTGCGTACACATCGAAGTCCAAAATGCGCCCCCTGGCGTTTCTGGGCCGAAGACAATTCCAGGCGACGGGGGAAAGGTGCCGCTCATTCCCGCACCAAGTTGATGAACAATTGACTTTCCCGACGTTCTCTGGACTTCAAACAATATGCCCGTCGGGCACCTGTTACTAACGGTTGAACTTCCAAATTTGTTGTTATCCCACCTGCACAAGGGCAGCTGAGACCCACCCCTCATGATGCGACTTGTGGTCGGATCCGGACGGCTGATAGAGGACAAGGTCGCCTAGTGTTGACAGGGTTTCTGGAAGCTTGCCGATGCTTGACGCTCAACGGTATCCATCAGTGCCAACGGTCGAAGGGCGCGGTGGTGAAGCATTAGCCCCAAGCATGATGACGTCCATGGATCCATGCAGGACAGCCAAACCGTTGACGGGCCATCTTCGTTCCTCTGCGAAAAGATTTCTTTTTTTACTTGGCTCCCCCGGCACTGTGAGAATGAGGGCTCTAAGATGCACGTCGTGGGACGTTCCGAGCTGCACGCCCAAGACCTCGTTCCGCTTACCAGCAGAGGAAGTTGCTTTATGTTCGAATTGGTAGTTGGAATCGTTCTCGCGAGGGGGACTGAAGCGCTCTTTGCCTCTTCGAGATTGGCGGAAAAGACACCCACACCGTCTAGTTCCTGGTCAATTGGTTTTCTGTCAGGATCGCACGAGTAAGCACATTGATGTTGTGTTGACCACCTTCCCGATTGGCGTTTGCAAACCACCTACCGCCTTTGACAGACCCTCAATGCACCCTTGCTAGGTCAGTTCCAGGGGAGCCAGTTGCACTCTGACCTTGTCCTGAGTCGTATTGCTGCTGTGCCTGCTCGGTGATGAGTTGTCCCGACCTCAGCTCGCGCGAATAGGAGGCTGTTATGGCTGACAAATGCATCAGGGAATGCATTGGACAAAGGATCTTTGACGGCGACCGAAATGTTCCAATGTCCTATTCCGGTGTGCCACACCCCGTCAACGTGTGGTCAATGCGAGTGGGATCTCCGCAATGGGGTCCAGAGAGAACTGAGTAAGGTCGTCTGGTCTTTTCCCGCGTGAGCCATGAGGGAGTATACTACTCTTGAGAGAAAGCTGCAAGTCGAACCGTGGTCGCCGTTCTCGGGATCCTCCGCGTCAGCCTTCTCATGAAGGCCCCATCGATGAAGGCGTTGGTCCCCGTAGGTTTCAGCCTTACAGGGCCACCTTCGCTAGTTTGGTACGGAGTAGATGGAGCAGTTCTGAGGGACGGTCATGCTCATTTGCCGCCAACCGTTGCTTCACGACCTCAGGGACTAGGGAAACCTCTCCTCCGCAAGAGTGGCTGCTTTGGCAGGCGCGTGGTTGCATACTTTATTGATCCACCAAGCATGCCAAATCCTTCGATGCTGACATGGGGCACAAAGCTTGAAGAATGAGTATTAGGGTGCAAGCTTTGACTGCCTTAGCCCAGTTCTTAGCTTGACGTGTTTCATGGTCTTCAAACCGGCTTTGAGCTCGTAAAGACTGCAGCTCGAACCCGCTTTGCTGACTCGAACAGTCGGGCACCCCGAAAGTCAGATCTGCAACTGTTTTTCTGGGTGTGAACATCCCAAGACTCGATCCACTCCAACCCTGGAGAACGATGACAATCAAAGCCCGCCCGAACTCCGAGTGAGCGACAATCGGAAACACTCCGTCTATTGTGATGGTCCACGTGCCAACAGCTCGCTTATCGAAACTCCAGATTCTGGCCTGGGATTGAATTCGAGAGTATGAGCCGTGATGGATTGGCAGAAAGAGAGGTCCACCCTGTCGGAAGTGTGTGACATGTAGTTGACACGGGTAGGGCCGGGCAAACAACGTGTTTTGTTGGACGTAATTGAAGTTCAGCCTCGTAAGAACTCAAAAAGCTTAGGCCGGGAAACGTCCAAAGACCGATCCCCCAACATTACCCCAAACATGGAAAGGCCTGGCAGGCCAAGCAAAGGATCTCGCTTGCCATCTAGAACTCGGTCTCCGCATAGGGATAGATATAGAACGTTGAAGCAGGTGTCCAATCGCGCGTTTTCTTGCCCGATGCCAACATGCTATGGATCTGTGGCCCTCGAGCAGTGCAAATTGCGGGATTCAGGTTTCGACCATGTTGAGCGCACATTCATAGCCGACGGTGGCCGGATATGGCATAATATGGGCAAGTGAGCTCCTGAACGGGCCAGATTGGTGGAGCGGATTTGCTCGGTGGGAGGCCCAACTGCAAGAGCGGGATCGTCGTATTGACGTCGAGCAGGGCCTCTTCGGACTGCTTTTCCTCGCCTCGAGTGAACACGAACTGCACCACGCGAGCTCGTGTTTGTATGCACCTTGCGAGCGACAGATGTGGAACTCAACCACGTGTCGTCACGACAAAGGCTGAAATACCTGAGTTTCCTCGACATTGTTCCCATCCCGATCCACTATTGGAGACAGAAAATTTATGGTCGCTGACTCTCTGCTGACATCTGAGCATGGCTGAACGCAGACGACGCAATATTATCGGCTCCACCAGCGGGATGAGCTTCCGCACACCTGGATGCTAGTGCTGACAAGGGCAACTAGTTTTAAATCCGGAGCGGCCTTGAGCTTTGTAGCAGACTGCAGACAAGTATGCACCAGTTATGCAGGTTTTCAAAGTGCAGAATGCACCAGCATAGGCGACAGCGTTGGTGGCAAGCTATTGGCGAGTGTTGAGTGATCACCTTAGTCCCAGATACAAGCTTCAGCTCGCCGTCAAGCCAGCATATTTCGAGTTACTGGGGTGCCCCATTCCTGACGATTTGAAGAAAGAAACGAATTGAGACGAGTGTTTAGCATGGATGGGTATCAATTTGGCGTTGGGTCAGGAGATATCGCCCTTCGGCGTTGCCGGGAAGAAATTGGGGTCTTTCAGGCGCTGTTGCTGCCGTTTTGCAACCTCCAAGTTTCGCAATCGGTCGATTCGCATTTGATAAAAATTTCTTTTACCATCAGTCAAGAAGGTAGGTGGCTGGGAGGAAGGAATGACTCACTTGTGCAGGGCATACACGCGAGGAATATCTTCCGGTTTGTCGCTGGTACTAGCACCAGCCTGTATGGCTTTGATCTACGAGGTACAAACACTCGCGACATTAGCGTCAAGGACGAATGTGAGTGCGATCATCAGTAAGACAATACAGACCTTTTCATCCCTTTCTTTCTCAGCCTTGTCGTCATCATCCTCGTCCTTCTTCTTGCCTTTGTCGTCGTCTTTGGCTTTTTTCTTTGCCTTCTTTTTGCGCTGCTTCTCCTCGTATTCCTGCTTGATCTTCTCGATTTCTTTGTCCATCCATTCCTTTTTCTTCTTTGCAGCTTCCGCCTCGGCGTCTACCACAGGGGAAGCAAATCCTCTGTCGGTCAAGTGGGAAACACAGATATAGAAGAAATCCTGACAAGACCAGTTGGTATGGTGATGGTCACAGAACATACTCAAAAGACTGAATCTGCTCGGAAATGAAGAAGGACGCTTACTTTGTTGTCAGGCGTGATCAGCACCTTGGTCGAAGGTTTGTGACACACATAGCAGGCCTTGGAAGAAGCCTCAGCTACTGTTCGGAGATGGTAGACATTCGGGAAGGGCAATGACATGGTGATGGTAAGAAGACAAAGTCCCTGCAGCGATTGGAGTCTTTCCAGATGTTCCGACCAAGGCTATGTCGATGACGGAAAGGAGAAGGAACTGAGCAGGAAGTCGAGGAGGGCGACGGATCAAGACGAACCTGAAGTTCGAGTCGTTTCTTCCATTCTTGGGATTGCTATCTTGCTGCTCTTCCCACCAATTTGAACTAACTGTTTTTGGCCAAGTAGTTCCTCCCGCGCTCATACACTGGCAGATTGCACGTCTTATTGCATCTCTGGATTATTTGTTACTTGAAGAGCATTCCTATCGGAGGCCAGCTGCCGGTGCTTTGCCTGCTATTGTATTTCCAGACCTTGTTGATCACCTGTAGGTCCATGTGCGTATCGCCAAGTCACACCAAGCAATCGTTATCGATAGGAACAGGATTCCCTAAATCTGGGGCAAACCGTCGATGAGGTATCAGAAAGATCAAAAAGACATCTAGATCAGATTTGCAAGTGGGCATCATAGCAGCCTTGCGAACGAACATGGACATAGTCTTGGGCTGGCTACCCACGGTCTCGACCTTTCAATTCTCTTATAAGATAAGACTCTCTGCTTCAAGGATACCATCTGCAGCCCCGGCATTACAGGCAACGGCGCCCAAGGTTGAGCAACCACTAGACTAACCAGGACGACTTGCAGATCAGAGGCCGTCTTCAAGCGGGCAAAGTCCCGATGCTTGCATGGAAAACACGAGATCGAACATGGGGTTGTAGTCTCTCGACAACCACCCCACCGCCGTGTCAGGTGGAGGGTTCATGATCGGGGTCCTCCAGTAGGTCGCGATCTTGGGGCGATACATCTGCTCGCTGGACCAAATATCTCTTCACCTGCTTGAATACTGAGTTGGAATTCCCAGACCCAGGGACGACGACTCAACTGCACCTCTTCGGGCTCCCTCAGAGTTCTGCCCAGCGACCATTGTGAACTGGGATGAGGCCAGCCCTTCCGCTGGAGACACACTATTCCTTGCCGAGTTGTGGGTTTCGTGAACAGGAACGCAGTCCATCTGGGTCTATGAAGCCTCGAAGACTGTAAAGGTTGGATAGCAGATGTAAATAGCCGTCGTGGATGCGTTTGGGAGGACAGCATTGAGCGGAGCAATAAGAAGAGTAGGACGTTCCATTTGATGCTGGTTTGCGCCAAGTCAAGCCGTACCGAAAGGTTGTGTAGCAAATCTTGCGCCGAGAATATTCATGTCCAGGTAGGAGGACGATGCCTGCCCTGCGGTTGAGATACTATGACACATTTGTTGAAACCCCGTTCCTCTTAAGCAACATACATCTGACCTCCTATAAAGTACCTGGACGCCTTGATATACGAGAATCCAACTGCGCTTGCTGAGCAAACACCGCAGCCCCAATCGCAGGCCGACCACCTGGCTGCTGCGGTTGGGTTGTGCCTTCTTCCAACACATTGTCCTTCAAAGCCTCGTCCTCAGCACTAGCGACTGTGCCTTCAAAAGCCGCAGCTCTTGACGTCTGCTCAAAGACCACCTGCCGGCTCCATCTCTCCCAATCATTGTACATTGCATTCTCAATGCCCATGCTGATCTGCAAGGCCGACTTCCCAAACCGAGCGCCCATGTGTTTCGCCTCTTCAGCTGCGATCCTGTCCCTTCTCTCTTGACGCCGGCGCAGCGTATAGAACTCTTTCCGTGCGATGTCGTAGGCCTGCGGGACAGTGATATCTGGGACGTTTTCCAGCAGCCAGAGTTGTCGTTGCACCACACATTCGCCAGATAGCGGGATTCCAGGTTGGACGAGGCCTTTTGACCAATCTGCATTTTTGTATTGTTCTCCCGATGTCTCGACGATGACTCGGGGCCGCGCGAGCTCCCAGGGATGATCGCTATAAAAGGTTTTTCGTAATGAATCCTCCTCGTAATGCAGTGGTTTGGGAGTGAAGACATGGCGAGCTTTCGCTGACTTGGGTCTCTTAGGTTCAGTGATTTGCGCGTATTGTTCTGGTTTTCCGCTGGGGAGAGTTCGAGTGCGGACTTTTGTCAGGGGATGCCTGACAGGCTGCTGGCGGACGAGAATCTGTGCTGGCGGGACATCGTGCACGATATCGACCCAGATGGGTACCGAAGGGATTTGTTTGGCCTTGACTCTGGCCAGCGCGGTCTTGCGGACGTTGATGGCAGTGAGGTTTAATCGGCCCATGATTGCGCAGCTTGACAACCAGGTTCACGATCCGTCAGGTATGAGGAGTCGGGAGTCGCAAGGAGCAGGAGCGTCTCAAAGATTAGTCCCGTGTCTCGAGAAAGCGAAACTGCAATTCTCTTGTCGTCTCCGGCGATGTAGCCAGCCTGCCAGCTTGGTTGCAGGATAACCTGAATCTCCATTGAATTTCGAAGCTGCGGCGAAAATGCCACGCTAGTGGACAAGTTTCCCAAGATCCCCATTTCGGGAATCTCAACCGCGAGCGTCCATCGACAATGTCTTCTTCAAGCGCCTCGAAAAGATTATCCGCTTCTTTCAAGCCGATGATGAAGAGTTGACAATATGTTCCCAGGCATATGCATCAATCCTCCAAGTTTCTCGGATGCAGAAGCTTTCCGAATGCGACGCCAATAGCACGTAACAGTTTCTCGATATGCGACTTCCTCGTCCCTACGATTCGGCTTCGCGCTACCGTTGCTTCAAAGCGCTCGATATGTGGACAGAGCAGAGGCTACTTTGGAGGGGTCAATGCCAAAGCCGTGGAATCGACTTTTCATAGCTGGCTATCGCGTGCAGGAGAATGCTCCTCGAGGCGTCGTCAACTAGCACTCTCTACTTCCGCCTGCCGGAGACAGAACCGCTCGAGGCATGGAGACGGGCAAGAGAAAGGAAAGAACATGATCAGTGGCCAATATCGCAGCTTCAGCAATGGGTTCAGCCAAAGTCGACTTGAAACCCTGGATAGACCCGCACAATCGACGGCTCCAAGAAGTCGGCGCAAGAGCAGGGCCAATACGTGGGATTTCTTTGATTCCAATACACTCGAATTTGCGCAAAATAGCCGACTGCCGGCCGCCTTCTTCGATGATCTGAACACATTGCACGAGAAAGTGAGGCTAGGAAAGGACGAACAAGCAAAGCAGGATGAGCCTGAGCTGTCACAGCGCCTGCTTGAGGAACAAATGACCCTTTTGAAGTCTGTAAGAGATCTCGAGGGAAAGCTGGCCGAGGCCAAGGCCAGCCTGAACAGCTCAATACACAAGAAGCCTCCCACATCAGAACATGCCACAGCATTGACACCCGTGGTCTCGAAGCAGCCGGCGGTTGTGCTGTCAAAAGATGACTACAAGAATTTGGTGGATCTCTATTTCTTTTCTCACAGCAATCGTTTCGACCCGGAATCGCCTCACTCGTCTCCGACGCCGAAAGTCCTGGAAGACTACGTGTTTAAGCTTTCTGAAGACTTTGCGCCGCCGCAAGCGTATGCGGAATTTTATGCGGATGATGAAGGTTACGAGTCGCCTCTCAAGGAGGTAGAGAAGATGCTCAAATCAAAGCAGCTGCGCGAGATTTCTGCCTTCAAAGCCTTTGTCGATCTGCTTCTTGACAATCACTCCTCAAATGCAGCACTATTCAGAGCTTACAAGGGGCTGCCACAACCAGGTGTGGCTTTTCTTCCCAAAGGGACAATCAGATTGTTTCTACAACGCATGTCAACCCCCTGGCAGAAGTCCGAAAAGTCAATGATAAGGTACCTGTCCCTGATTGACGACATGCAAAAGGCCAATCTGCCGATCGCAAGGTCGGAATGGGCGTCTGCTATATATTTGGCTGGCAGGTCTTTCTCCAAAGTGACAGACTCGGAACTCAACGCCGCGCTGCGGCTGTGGAGGCAAATGGAACAGGAAGCTGGCGTACAGGCTCACAATGTCACTTTCAACATTCTCTTTGACATTGCAGTGAGGGCCAACAAATATCCACTGGCTCAGATGATCCTGAAAGAGATGCATGATCGAGGTCTTCATCTCAATAGGCTTGGTCGTGTCAGCGTTATCTATTATCATGGGCTACGAGGCGACGGAGATGCTGTTCGAAAAGCTTACCGCGATTTTGTCGATGCCGGGGAAATTGTCGACACCCTTGTGCTGAATTGCGTCATGGCAGCGCTATTCAACGCTCAAGAACCGGCGGCGGCAGAGCAAATATACGAGCGGATGAAGAGTCTTCATATCAATACGCGTCGAGAAGTGCGAAGTGACGGCACAATAGCATCATACCGACAGTACCCAGGCCCAGGACCGGAGCTGATCCACCGCGAGCTGGCAGCCAACTCTCTAAGGCGAGTGTTGCTCTTTGCGCGCAGATTGAAACACCTTCTGCCGGAGCATCACAAGGAGGCACAAGAGTTGATGCCTTTGAGACCAGACCACACAACCTTTCGGACTATGATCTCTTACCATGCAAATGTATCTGGAAACCTCAATCGAATCACAGTGTTGATCAACGAAATGTCCGAGGTATTCGGTCTGCCCTTGCAGAGCATTCACTACCAACTGCTGTTCAAGGGGTTTGCTCTCCATGGTGCCACAAGGAACCCGCATGCGACTTGGAATCTACACCGGCTAAATCTGGCCTGGGAAGCTTGTCGCAAAGACATCCGAGAAGGTCAAATGGCTCGCAGGCGCGCAAGGCAGACGAAATCCGATCACCACACACTGCCTTCGATCGACATCATCAATGAAATCTCTGAAGAAGGGGAGCAATCTGTACGTGGAGAACAAAAAGCATTCAAACGCATGAGCGAATGGGACGACTTTGTCCTCGACCTCGCCGCGTTTCCTAGAGAGCGGAGGAAACACATCGAAAGGATCCACGCCGAGCTCTTTGACGAGGAGAGAGAGAAGCGAGAACCTCTCATCCGGTATCCCTTTTCTCGGTCTACGAAGGAACCGCCACCACATGATCAGAACACCTATTACCCATTGGGAGAGCGAAAATTAGACCAAGAGGAAGGAGAATATGTGCTGCCGTCGCCAACCCGGGCAATTGCTCCGTCAAGCAACAAGCTTCACGATGGCTTTACATCCGAGGATACTATCGAGGAAACCATCAATATTGACCCAGAAGCGGATTTACCAGACACCGAATCGCCTAGAACTAGGACGGGAGCCCGCAACAACGACACATCATCAACAACCTTTCCAGACGCTTCTGAGGCGACGACGACGACAGACTCCTCTCATCATTCGGAGGCCGACGCCGAAGACGGCCGTGACGTGCCCCCTATCCCCTTCACCTCGCGGTATCAGGTCGAAGCCACGCGCCCGCTGGTCTGCTGGCTGCTGCGCGCCTACGCCAACGCCACGGGGTCGCGCCAGCAGGTCGAAGCGATCTGGGACTCGGTCCGTCCGCTGTGGCGCTCGCGCGAGCCCAACGACCAGGCCGCGGTGGTTCGGGTGTTGAGGCGATGTCTGAGGAATTGTGATCGGTATGGTCCGCCTTTGTGAAGGAATCTTGGGTCACTGATTGAATGATTGGCTTCAATCACATGTTTGAAATAAGCTCGGAACTGCCTCGTACGAGGTGCAGATCCAACTTTGCGAGGGGTGATCACATCCGTCTATCTCTCAGGGCCTGCCTATATTATTATTATTATAACTAGGTAGATAGGTAGCTAGCAAAGTCGGATGGGCTAGTAAAATGAATGTACATGCGAACCATACATCTACCTACAGTCCATCTACTTCTCTAGGCGAGGCCGACATCTGTCGACACTTCTCACGCCAGAAAATTGGGGAGTAGTCAGTGCTTCACCACCTGCCACACATGCTGCACGTCGTGCTGGCTCTAGAGTCTAGATCCTCTTTCTATATCCAGGTATACGTGTCTACTGTCTATATCTGTATCCGCGAGGTATATACATGATAGACAAAACTCAAGCCGTAGCAACCATCACCTAAAGGTGAGCAACTGAATGTAGCTAATATCGAGCCATCATCCACCTTCAGCGAGTTTCAATCTCGTTTCGAGTCTTTTTCTCTCGAGACAACAATTCATTTCTTGTTACCCCTTTTGGCGCTTGACCTCGGTCGATCCGGAGTGTGCTGGCTGCTTACAGTTTACTCTCTCTGCCTGTGCCGAACAGGCTGTTCCTGGCCACGCTGGTGTGCGAGTCTTGTTGGCTCCCCCAGGACACCGCGTAGGGATGGTCGCGGCGCTTCATGACCAGGGCGTCAATGGCGCCCGTGTTGACGTATTGCGGACCGCACTCTTGGAGGGTGGTGACGCCGATGTTGCGCATGGCGACTTCGAACTCGTCCCTCAGGATGTCGATCAGCTGCTCCACGCCGTCCTGGCCGTAGCCCGTGGCGAAGAGGGCGGGCCGTCCGATCCCCGCGGCCACGGCGCCCAGGCAGACGCACTTGAGGATGTCGGTGCCGCGCCGGATGCCGCCATCCACGAAGATGCTGAACGGTCGAGATTGGCCTGAAGCCACGGTGGGGGAGGCAGGGTGGTGCTGCGTGATGATTTCCGGGTACCGCGCGTGGATTTCGAGCAGGACCAGCAGCGCGGGTGGGGAGGTGTCGAGGTTCCTTCCGCCGTGGTTTGATAGGACGACGCCCTCGAGACCGTGGTCCAGGGCCAGTCGCACGTCGTCGGCGGACATGATCCCTTTCAACAAGAGGGGCAGTTTGGTTTGAGACCGCAGCCAGGCGATGTCGTCCCAGTTCAGGTTCGGGTCGATGAAACTGCCCATCAGCCGGCCGTAGCCGCCCCCTTTCTTGTCGTTCTTGGCGTTGGTGGTCATCATTGGGTTTTGGATCGACTCATCGGCTTTGACGCGCTCGTCCGCCTCCCTCTTCCCCGCGGCAGCCGCATCAGTCGTCACGAAGATCGCGCGGACGTTCTTGTGCTGGTGGATCTTGCGGAGGAGCTGTTCGGATTTGTGCCGCTCCCGGTTGACGTACAGCTGGAAGAAAAACGGATAGTCCGAAACGGCAGGTTGGGAGACGATTTCGCTGGCAGAGTAGCTGGCGTTGTTGGAGATGCATTGCACAATGTGCTTCTCCTTTGCGGCCCGTGCGATGGCGAGTTCGCCGTCTGGATGGATCAAGCGCGCCATCGCCGCGGGGGAGATCATCAGTGGGAAAGAAACGGGGTAGCCCAAGATGCTGGTTTCCGTGTTGATCTTGTCCACGCGGCGCATTACGCGTGGGCGGAAGAGCACGCGGTTGAAGAGACTGGCATTGAGATCTCGCGTTATTAGGTCGTTGGCCGCGGAGGAGTAAAACGCCCATGTCTTCGCGGTGGCGGTGTTTCGGGCGGCGATTTCGAAGTCGTGAGCATTTATCAGAGAATCCAACGGGGGCTTGTCTGAGCTCGAAGCAGATTTGGCTTGAGGTGTCTCGGTGGGAAGAGGTTTGGACCATTCTTCGGTGATTGTGGATCTGTCCAACACTCCCTTGAGGGCGTCTGCTGGCAGGTTGTTTCTGATTATTGCCGGCGAGTGGATTTCATTGTATGCCTGGGTGGCGTCTCGACCGGCATACTTGTATATTATGCCAGGACCGCCGGGGTGTTCGGGGGCGAATTTGGTGATGTCCCATACCTGGTTATCCACAACTATCCAGCAGTCGGTGTCGGTGTTGTGGGACGAGATCTCTGATACCGAGATCTTGCGTTGTGCCATTTGAGAACAGTGTTAGGATTCGACGTCTATGCGATCCTGTGTGTTGGATCACGGGGAGAGACAACTTTTGAGACGCTGGTTATATAGGACTCTCACCTCCACGATGAATCCCCATACAAGTCACTTTACTCCAGCACTTTACTCCATCCCGTGAAGGTATTTTATCCGTAAGTGAGGCCGATAGGGACCATTTTAGCCACCTGCTGAGCTGGTCTAGCTCGATACCATGGACGATACAACCTTGACGGGAGGCTGTCGGTGTCAAGGCCGGTGCGGAGAGTGGGAATATTGTGAAGGGAAATTGGAGGAGGAGCAGAAAAGGCCGATTAATACCTAGTTCACGTGAGCGTCGGGTTTCGGCGGAGTTGATGCCGAGAGAAGTTTTGGCTGATTTTCTGGTGGCCGGAGTTCTGTCCCCTTGGAGCACTGCACCTCGAACACTCCAACTAACGGTCAGGTCTTGTGCCTGCGGCCGTCACAAGCCGTCGCAGCTAGTCTGATGCTATTGCGGTTACAGGCTGCTTTCAGCTGTAGCTTCTCTCGTCCCCTGAAACCGTCAGCCTTGTCGGCGACTCCTCTTTGGGCTTGTGCAAGTCTTGTGGGTAAGTGTTGCGTCCGTCGAGTCGTGGCATTGGCACTTGGCTGAATCTTGTCACAGTACCAAGATCCGAGGGATGGCTCGGTAGGACCCGCGGCAGTCTTTGGCAGAAAAGGGTAACCAGTTACGCCACCATGGCGAACAATACGACACCCTTGAGGTACGCAGACGTGCGTAGCTGGATGAGAGGGATGTGTCATTGTCGAGGCTGACAGACCCAGGTCGGCATCAATCTTGGAGACCCAGTCTTCCGAGGAGTCTACCACGGGAAGAGAGCGCATGAGGATGATTTGGACGACGTTGTTCAACGAGCGCTAAATATCGGCTGCACCAAGTTGATGGTCACGGGCTCCAGCCTGAAAGAGTCTCAGCATGCCGTTGAGCTCGCGAAACAGTACCGTATGTAACGAGGATCTTGTGGACATTGTCGTCCCCCCCTGACTCTTTTCCAGCTGGCACTTGTTTTGCCACCATTGGAGTACATCCATGCTCGACGCAGGACTTTGACAATTACAAGGGCGGGCCAAGTGCACTGATCCAAGAACTTCGTGCCCTGACTCTCGAAGCAAAAGAGAGTGGCCACGCGGTAGCCTTTGGGGAAATCGGGCTGGACTATGACCGATTGTTCCTATCCCCCAAAGATGTGCAACTCAAATATTTCGAACTGCAGCTAGATCTGGCCGAAGAGATGCAGCTGCCCCTGTTCCTACATTCACGAGCATGCAGCGAAGACTTTGAAAGAATCCTCGGCGCACGCTTAGACAAGCTACCCAAACGGGGACTGGTACACAGCTTTACGGGCACCATACCGGAAATGGAGAGCCTGGTCAAGCTTGGGTTTGACATCGGCATCAATGGCTGCAGCATGAAGACCGCCGAAAACCTGGAGGTGGTCAAAGCAGTGCCCTTGGATCGTTTGCAAATCGAGACCGATGGACCATGGTGTGAGATACGGGCGTCGCATGCTTCCTCGCAATACCTGAAAGATGGGCCAGTGATGCCCAAGGCAGTGAAGAAGGAAAAGTGGCAGAAGGGGATGATGGTCAAGGGACGCAACGAGTCGGCGACGATAGGGCAGGTGGCGCACGTGATTGCGGGAGTGAAGGGGATCAGAGTGGAAGAGGTGTGTGAGGCGGCATGGACGAATTCGACCGAGATGTTTGGACTGGGATGCTAGTTACTACCTAGTAGTAGGTACCTAGGTAAGAAGGGAGTAGAGAGTAATTGAAGAGGGATGATAATAAGAGGTAAAGGTGCCCATACGAGTAGATGACTGGGTTGCTGGGCTGGCTTCTAGACTCGCGTGACGGAGAACTCCTTCGAGAGCTCGCGAGGTACGCAACGGCCAGCCACGCACGTGCCCCTCGCCTGGGTTTGCCGACTTTTCCCATGTGCCATTCAGCAGCAAAACTGACTCTGATTAACTGTTTGATTAATTAATTATTATTCGTCGCGTCTTTTTCCAGCGTGTCAATTTCGCTCCTCTCGTCCCTTTGGTTCCTCTGGTTCCTCTAGTTCCCCTCGTCCTCTCGTCCCTCTCGATCCTCTTCTTGTCTCCGCGTTCGCCGTTGCCCGACTTTTCGCCTCTCCGCCTTGAACTTGCTCGTTGCAACCTACCCAAGTATTAGCGATTAGTCTCGATTCTCCCGGCTTGGTACGAAACACTTGACCTCTCTCGAGATCCTCTTCTCCCTCTCCTCGCCTCCCCATCGCCCGCTGGCTGCCTCCCTCTAGTGATGCCGCCAATCCACGTCCTGTGCCTGGAACCACAATCAAACCACACGTACCACCACGCCCCCATTGCCCACCACGCCCACATCACCCACACTTCACGCCGGTGACGCTCGTTGCCAAACTTACCAAGCCAGAAACGGGAACTCAACTTCCTGCTGCCTCTTGGTTTTTCTTCGCCCTGAAATTCTCTCCCTCGTCGATCGACTTCATTCTTTCTTCCACTTCGCTACCACCATCTCATTCTCGCTCGCTCATCCTTATTTCCTTCTTCTCTACCAGTCGTCGTCTGCCACAGTATGCCGCCTATGATTCTTTCTGCAGTGCTTTCCACTCAGAGCTCTTCAGAACCAATCCTCGCCATGCGTCCAATCAATATGCCTCCTTGTCAGGGCCGATTTCCGTCCAGATAATTCCCTCGTCCGCTCTACATAACACCGCCAACCTCTCCTCCGATTCGACCAAGCAACCTTAACTGCTACTATCAGAGTATCCGTCTACAGTCACTGCTGTTGTGGAGGACCTCCCCCTTCGGACCAAGAACTCTGTCTCAGCCTATCCGTTGGCACGCGTACACGATCCAACAAGATGGCCATCTAACCACCTCTCAACGGTCCGCACCTCCCACCCCGCTTCAGCTGCTGAAGTTGTTATAAGAGGCCACTCCAGAGCTACTGTTCCTCACTTCGCTCCTTCATCCCTCCCTTGCCAACTATTAAAATCGACTGCTCGCCTCGTTAATCTCCCAACTTGACCTCTAGGAAACGCGCAGCTGCTAGAATTTCATTCCGTGGCTCTTTCAACGACCTGCCCGTTTACCGACAAACCCCTCCCCAACCGCCGAATCATCCCCCTCTGTCGAAGCAATTTGCGGAAATCGCAAGATGAGCCAAAAAGACCAGGAAATGGCCAGCTCACTTGTCGATTTGAACCATGTAGCAACCGATCTGGCTCTTCTCGACGTGTCCTTGGGGTCCAAGACCCTGCAACTCGACCAATCTCAGCCACCTACTCCAGACGGGACAGGACGTCCAGTCAACTTTCAAGTCATTGCCCCTGGCCTCTATCGATCGAGTTATCCCCAGTTGGCACATTTTGAGACCCTTGTCGAACTGGGCCTCAAGACCATTGTGACCCTGGTTACCGGACCTCCTCCTGTCGAGTATCACAAATTCATGACTTCCCACGGCATTACTCACTACATCATCCCTATTCTCGCCAACAAGGACCCGGAGGTCTACACCTCAGACGCGGTCGTCTGCAAAGTCGTCGAACTCATGCTGGATCCGCAAAACTATCCCATGCTCATCCACTGCAACAAGGGCAAGCACCGAAGCGGTTGCATCACGGCTGCATTCCGTAAAGTGACGGGATGGACCCTGGAGGCTTGTATCGAGGAGTACGAACGGTATTCCAAGCCCAAGTCACGTGATTTGGACAAGGTGTTTATTGCTCGTTTCGACCCTTCTCCTCTGAAGCATCTCGCCATCGAAAGAGGCTACGTCGGCGGCGTCTATAGACAACCAGTCCGTGACTCGACGAAATCTTCCATCTACACCAACAACACCATGGAGACGGCTTATACGACTACCGACGACTCTGTCACCGATCTCCACGAGCGGGTCCCGAGGGAACACGAAACACTTCTGGAACCGGCGAAAAGCCAAGTTTCCTTCTAGCACGGAACGCGAAGAGGCAGTACGAGGCGGAGAGAATGTACGATATCAACGCGTGTTGAATGAAAATCTTGTTTTGGTGGAAAAGAACTGGTGAAAAGAAACTTGGGAAGCATGGAAGCACCACGGAAATGGATAGAAAATTGCATTTTGAGCCACACAGAGATCGGCTCTGGCGTTGGGATTGCATATATGCCGCCAGCGCAGCATGGATCGCATGGGGAAATCGGAGCGGGAAAGGGTATCTGGTATTTGGTCTCCTGGAGCCCACGGCATCCATCGTTGACACACTTGACGTTTCATGAGAATTCCGTTCTTGGGGTGGGGATGAAAGCAAAAATAGAGGTGGAATTTGGAATAGAGGATTGAGGGATTGAGAAGCATCGATGGGGGAAAAGAAAATAAGGGACAAGCCAAAAGAAAGGCAGTTTGGGCCCGAGATCGGACGCATAAGGAAAGATGGCACGCGACATCGTGGTGGCGGTGGTTGATGGAGGTGGAGGAGGATTACATCTTCCCCCTGTACTTGTATGCGCCATTGACGTGACACACCCTACTTGATGTGACACACACCGTCAAATCCTATGTTATCTATGTACGTAAACACATCCCCAGCGCAGCACAGCATGCCATAGCAACGGGGAAAATTAAATACAAAATAATAAAGAAAAGAATCCACGAAAGATATCAAAATAAAGGAGTCAAAGTAGGCAGGGCATGGATGAACCGAAGACAGAAAACCAGAAGCAACCGACTATGGACCCTTGGGACGGAGGGAAAGGTGAACTTGTTGCTCAAGAAGATAAAGCCAAAAGACACGGCGGCAGAGGATTCCCCATGTGTATGTATATACGGCGCTTTTCAATCGAGTCGCGACGAAAAGGCTCCTAAGCTGCAATGATTTACCTTGGAGGTCCGTAAAGGAGGCACTCCATCTCCTCTTCAAGCGGCACCAGTGCCTTCTCTTTGAAAGCGGCACAGTAGGCTTCGTCCGCGAAACTGGCGTCGGGGTTGAGGTAGTCTTGTAAGCACGTCAGAATAGCCTGAGAGAACGCGCAGGATATCCTTCCGCGAGACTTTTCCTCCTTCAGCCATTTGTCCGCTAGCTGGAGGTCTGAGTGCTCGTTGGACTGCGTGTTGGCCGTTTGACCGTCTGGACGTCTTTGCGTGGTCGCCATTTGAGCATCTCGCCGTCTCTGCTCCACAGGCTGCCCTGAATTGATCTCAAGCAGCATGATTGCCAAGGTAAGTAAATTCGAATTGGTTTCAGGTGCATCATCGGGTCTTTGATGTCCAGCTGCCGGATTGCCTGATTCAGCTGCAATGCTTGAGAACTTGAGATAAGGACCCAACTCACCACAATGAAAAGAGTTGGCTAGATAGGGATATTTTAGGTCAACAGACAACGGCAGGTTGTCGCTGGCCCTCGAAAACAAGATGCATTTCTTACTCCATTTCGATTCCAGCCAGGGAGTCTGGCTGAGCTGCAAAATCGAGGCAACCAAGGTGATGGCGAGTCCGTACACTGATTCGTACGGGAGTTTGTCCTTGAACCGCGGCAGGAGATCCTCAAGAGACAGGGATTGTTGAACATGCTCGACAGTCGCCTTTGACGAGTATGATTTCAAACATCCCATATCATCCAGGGAAAACCCCACAAATGGATGAATGGGTTCCCTGATGATTTTGCAAAAGTTTGTAATGCTTTGCAGACTTATTGGCTCGTCGGCGGCTGTCCCGGGGACCGATATGGTCACACGAATAGTCGTCTGGCTGTACCAGATTTACGTCAGAATCCAGGTTCAGGACTAGAAAATGAAACGAATCTCGAAACTCTGTACCTCGACGGAAGTTCGTCAATCCTGATTTCCGAATTCAACCACCCAGAGGACGCGCAGCAGTCTCCGTGGAGACTCAGCCCGAAGCAACTTGCCTGCGCAACCACGTTCACACTTGCTGGTTGTGAGGGTCTCTTGCGCTTTTTGGACCTCACTAGGCGTTGCTCGAGTAGGAGGCGAGCGACATGGACTGGCTTGTCGGTGCACCAGTTTCGCGAAATTGCCCGATATATCTTGCTGGCGTTCTCTTGAATGGTGTCTAGCGATGCAGAAAACTTCAGCTTCAGACGATTTTGTGGAGTTTCCTCCTGCAGCTTGTCGGCTCTTGCGACCCAGGCATCGATTCTGCTGGTACATGCCTCCAGGCGCTCTAGTGAGGTTTTGACACGATTCTTCTTCATTGTAAATTTGATCCTCTGTCTGAATTCAAAGTTCATACGAAGATTAGGAGTGCTCGCGATCGGTAAATTAGAAGAGACGACGGGCCAGAGGGTGCGACTTGTGACAACCTGCAACAGTCAGCCTTGAGTCGGTCATGCCAACAGGGTCTGTTCAAACCTGCTGCGACCCAGGGATATTGAGTGAAGAGACTATGTCAACCAGAATCTCTTCTATTTCATCAATAGTAAGTATAAATGGGTCGTACACCGCACCTAATCTATCGCGTAGACTGTTGGCGATGTCTCCCTCCCTCCACAATCGGCTTCGCGGATCTTCCATCATCAAGGTTCGGTTCGAGAGGTCGGAAATGGGGGCCAGAAGGAGTTGAATGGCTTGATCGTAAGAGGCGCGTATTATGTAGAGCTCCTGGACCAACCTGCGCAGATATCGTTTCCAATGCATGAATGCCACTGTGGGAGCAGCGACATCCTCGTAGTGCTCGAGGGCGGATATGATGAGAGGAATGGCGCCGAGAACGAGACCGGCGGCTTCCACTCCTGACATTTTTGCAGCTGATGGAAGACTAACGCAACTCAAACCTCGACGCCAACAATGGCAAGATGGACGATGGATGAGATGGACCAGTGCGGCTCTGTGCCTCTGCCGAAGCTCAAACAAACCCCCGCTCACCTGCCCGCCGATAGACCCCGCGACTCGCTTCCACCCGCTAACCTTCGTGCTAGGCTGCGAACTGCTGAACTCAAACGACTTCACCGGAAGAAGCCACGAAGTATATCCTCTGTGCTCCCATTCTCTACCCACGGTCGGTCTCGTTATTGAATGCGTTATGTAACACTGTTGCCAGGTCGGCGTCCTCGCCATGGACGACATCGGCGCCCTCTCTGCCTCTTGCCTGAGGTGTTTCGTCAAGCTCATACAGTCCTTGCCAACGTCTTCAGATGAATTTACCAAGATGATGCCGCCAAGCGCAATCAACAAGGAATATGCCCGTTTCAAGATTTGGGCAGGCAATCTGGGTGCTCTACAGAGAGGCAGAAGCTCTCTTGATGCTCGGCTGCGAGACTCGGTGGTTCTACGCGGAGCTGTCCTAAAATTCTTGGGGCAGCTACAAGAAACTCTGACTAAGAGTGAGTTATATGTCCTGTCTGTGGAGGACCCTCTCGCTCAGGCAAGCACGGTCTTTCAGGCGCAGAGATAACCACCGGCGTTCGCCTCCCGTACGATCAGACTCTACCCACAGACCTCAGATCGAGTGACGAAGACGCCCCTCTCTATGATGATGAAGACATTGGCAGTATTAGTGACACCAGCGGTGAACTGGATACCGGTGAACTTACCGAGAGATTGCGAGAGATCGAAGATGTTATGGAGCATCTGTACAGGCTGTCATTCAAGATCCGCAACACGAGATACCGTTCTCTTGCCCCGAAAGCTCTCCTATTGAAAGACGAGGATGAAGAAACAGGAAAAGATTTGTTCTCAGCGTATGCGATATTCGATCGTCGGCACGTTAAAGCGGTACTGGATTTCTTGCGTCTTCCCCCGCCGCCACAGAAGTTTGAAACAGAACATGCACAAGTTGTCGATCACGATATAGTGGATTTGTTGGACACCGACTACCATCTGACGGATAGCGATGATTTCCTGCTAAATCGACTGGCAAAAGCAATCACCAATCGGAGACGGTACTTTGAATATTGGCAGAAACATGCCCTCAAGCTATCCCAGAAGGTGGATGAACCAGCCTTCCGGGGAATGGTCTCAAACAGCACGAGCCTCGTTAAGCCTCTAGAACCTGCTTCCAAGCCCGATGTCATAGTCCCTACCGCCGACAATTTGATCCGACTGAATGGGTCGAAAACAGTCGTGTCAGGAACCGATTTCTCTAGGTATAACAATAATCTAGATGATCAATTGGATACAGAGTCTGTCATCTCTTATGCGACCACCGCGTTCGACTTAGACGGAAAGTCCCCAGAGTTTCCTCTACCTCCTACGGATGCAGCCGAAAAGTCGGAGTTCGTTTGTCCATATTGCTGGGTGGTGTGTCCATCGCGCCAGGGAAAAGGGAAGTCCTGGCAGTGGGTATTTTCGATCATTGCTAAGCTACGAATACCTTTCTAATGCATATTAGAGAGCACATCCGTCAAGACCTCCAGCCATATGTATGCACCTATGAGGAATGTCCAGATGCAGACCGCATGTATGCTAGTCGCCATGCGTGGCTTGAGCATGAGCGGTTGTTCCACCGTCGGGTATGGAAATGCTTCGAACACAGATCCTTCATTTCCAAATCCAGAGAGAGCCTATTCCAACACTTTTCATCCTGTCACCAAGGCCTCGATGCGCAGGAGATCGAAAACCTCCTGGACTTAGCGGAGACGACTCTAGACGACGATAGAAAGTCGTGCCCTTTCTGCCATTCAAATGGGCCTTTCAAAAAGGGGTTTCACAATCACATCGCCTTCCATCAGGAACAGCTTGCAACTTTTGCAGTCCCACGAAATCTCAACAATGACGAGAATTCCAGGCAAGCTCAAGGTTCCAGATCAAGCGATTCTTTGTTTTCCACTGCGCTAGACTTTCTGGAGAAGAATGGCAGCTCTGAAAGCGCCGACGATGGCGTTGAGCCAAAAAGATATGAAAAACGCCTTATAGACGCTGCAAAATCCGGCGATGTGGTGCTTCTGGAAGGATTCCTCAACGATCCTGGAGTAGACGTGAATGGGTCGGATACCAATGGCCAGTCAGCACTGTCTTATGCGGCAGAGAATGGGCACGAAGAAATCGTGAAGATATTACTCGGCACTGGTGATGTGGAAGTAGATTCCAAAGATGACGCTGGGATTACACCACTGTCATATGCGGCAGAGAATGGGCACGAAGAAATCGTGAAGATGTTACTCGATACTGGGCGAGTGGCCGTGAGCTCGCGATGTAATGATGGTAAGACGCCGCTACACCTCGCGGCAAAATCTGGGAACGAAGCGACTGTGAAACTTTTACTCGCCAGTGGCCAAGCGGATGCGAACTTGCAAGATCATAATGGTAAGACACCACTACATATAGCGGCCGGGGAGGGGCACCAAGCAGTTGTAAAACTGTTGCTCGCCAGCGGCAAAGTGGATGCGAACTGCCAAGATAAGAAGGGTGAGACACCGCTGTATGAAGCAGCATGGGAGAATAGCAATACGGTTGTGAAACTGCTACTTGAGGCTGGGGTCGATGTCAATGCTCACGGCGGAGCATATGGCAATTCTCTCCAGGCAGCATCACGGTCTGGTGATTCGAGTACTGTTCGGATGCTCCTTGAAGCA